TTTCAGATCGTGAAAAAATGAAATAACTACAGATTTTTCAATATAAATGTTTTCATTTCAAAAAAGTTTAATACTAAATTTAATACTATTTAAATATTAATTAAAACTATTTTCTTTAATATATAGAATAAGTGTAAATGTTTTATATATAAGGTAATTACAATTGGTGACCCTGACTTGATGTGAACACGCAACTACTTTAGCAAAACCCGAAAAGTTGTTTTCATTTTCACTAATAATTGATTTAATTATCAATTTGAAACAGTCAACAACGTCACTACTGCTTTATACTTGGATGCCGAAATGGAAATTGAACTTGAACTTTCTGGTTAAAGACAAAGTTCTTGTCAGTTTCGAAACATTCCGAATTTTTCTAAATCTGATATAATACTTTTAATTTACAGAAGCAATACAGGAAAAAAATTAGCTTCACTTGGAAACGTTAATGAAATGTATTTTCTAGTATTATCACAAATGATCGCTATCAGACTCTCTGAGCTAAGTGTCGATACTGAAAGATAGCAATGCCAAAGCTCATATCACTGGGCCACGGTGAATGCAATCAATATTTTTAAAAATTATATATTATTTAGATATTTCAAATATGTATCTAATTCTGCACGTGAGAATATATGCGATGCAAATGCAAATTGTACTGAAAATTCTAAGACTACAGCCAAGAATGTGTTCATTGCAGAAACTGTATTCACATCACCTCAAAGAAATCTTTCAATTACTATTCTTTCTACAGAACAAAAATTACTTATTATAAGACATACGTTTTGTAATTATACAAGAATATGAAATTGTAATTAAACTGATATAAGAAAAATTGAGATTTTATCCTGACAATCTTCGATGATCACGATAATTGAATATCTTTGACACTAGTTTCAGAGCAAATAAAAAATATGTATATATATATATATATATATATATATATATATAAGTAATCACATTAGTAGGATAAGATAATCATATATTTATATGATTATCGCACTATCTATAACATAAGGACTACCCACTGGATAACTTTATACCACACTTATTGAACCAAAAACAATTACTAAAACTCATTTCTAGGCAGCTTGTAATTTTTTATTGGAAGTTAAAAAAATGGATAGGTAAGCCCAAAATAAACAATTTACAATTACTTTTTATCAACAATAAGGGCTACTCTAAAAATATTATTCCGAGACATTGAACTTGACGTTCATTATCATTTATAACACTACTGAAAAAAATGAAAGGTATCTCATAATGATTCATGACACCTTGAAATGAACGTAAAAAAATTCAATTATAACAATGTTATGAAGCAATATGTTTTGCATATTTCAAACAATCTATAAACAATGTATTTGTTATAATAAATTTAGAATTTTTTATTAGGGAATTGAGATATTATCATTTATTGCCGTCGACAATAAAAAAGCATCGTGCCTTTCTACTGAAAGTAATTAGCTCGAAGCATAAAAAATATCAATACTAAAATGAAAATACCATATAATTAATGGATAGTAAATTAATAAAATTATATATATATATATATATATATATATATATATTTATTTCGATGTTCTATATTTATTTCGATGTTACATTTTTTGTTTGTGGCCAATGTTTAGTTCACAAGACTTCAATAAAATTTTTAAATATACATTGTTTAACTAACTACATTGTTTATTAGTTTTTTATTAAAAAAAATATTGTTAATTTTAAATTAGATTCAGTATTTTTTTGTATAACCTCTATAAAAGCTTACACTTGGGTGGGATAAAAAGGACCAATCCTGGAAAGGTGTAAACAATAAAAATAGTAAATAACGAAATAAATTAAGTTAAAAAAGGCAATTTTATAGAACTTGCCTTACCGTATATCAATAATTTTGGATTTTTGGTATGTGATAAACTCGATCAGTTAAATTTTATTGTTGATTCATACTCAATAGTGATTTTGTTATTTTTTCATTTCTATTTTGTCATATTTAAACAGTAATCAAAACTATGTGTGCTATGAGCTGCTGTGATGTTAATTCATTTACCCAATGTTTCTAGAAGACAACAACCCAGTGGTTGACCATTCTCTTTAAGATGAAATTATATTAGATGTATTATTAAAAATTATTACATATATATTGCTCAAACCAATTATATATATATATATATATATATATATATATGCAGCAACGGCCTCAAATTTGATTTTTATTATTGTAAAGAGAAAATCTAATGCCACTACTACTAAATATCAAGCTGGCCAAAGTGGGTATTGAACCCAGAACCAAAGTTGCTGCACCGACTTCTTACCATTGAGCCATGCTCAGCTCTATTTTTTTGAAAAGTTAACTGCAGCAAAATGTTCCAGACGATATAAGATTATTTCCTCTTACCCTATGAGTCAGTACATTGTTCTGAAATCGTTTGCGATAAAATAACATATTTACACAATAATTCTAAAGACGGCAATGGGCATTATTCTTTAAGTCTATTATGCGTTGTACAAATATCGTAAACAAGTGAACGTTCATGTGGGTTTGATAGACTAAATAAACAGTATAATAATTCATAAGAACAAATCCTTATCGTCTACACTCGGGCGGGTCATGATCCGTCGTGACGCAAATCCAATTCTGTGACGTTGAATTTGATATATGAACACTAATCCAGCATATCAAAACGAAGCTGATTTTATTTCATGTTTATGGGATGTAGATGATATGTAATATTTTAGAAAATAACATTTGATAAGAAATTGTTAAAACTATGAGATTTCGAATTTATAGCATCCTCGTGGAAATGATAGTAGCGATATAGATAAAATTATTGAAACATTGGATTAAGTAATCATATGGAAATGATAGCTTCAAAGAGGAAATCAGATGTCTGTACGAAATTTGTTTTTTTTATGTTTCATTTAACATACTGAAATATAAATTTTCTTAAGTAATATCTGTACCATCAGGCGTTTCACATATAAAATCTAACTTCTCGTATGCGTCATGACGCATCAGAAAGATGCAGTTATGATAACATTCTTTTTTGACGTTTTTGGGTTTTCTAGGTTAGGTTTTATGTCTCATGATCGCACGGCAAATACATAGCATTTTAACAATTTTTACTATCAATTTATATGAAGAGCACGCATATTCATTAAAAGTAAAATGATTGTCAGAAAATTCATTTCATTTTTTTATGGGTGCTCTGGTGAATTAGTGGTTAGAGCTATGGACTTTGAATCAAGGCGTCCGACAGCCTGATGTCAAACAGTAGTGACATCGGTTTTACATGGAAATATAGATCGGTTTTACATGGAATATGCACGAACATACTCATTATAACCGAAATTGCAATAATAAATTCATAAAATACGATGCCATATACAAAAGCCTAAACGACACAAATCAGCACAACAGCTTTTAGGACTTGTTAAGTTCGCTTTATTGCTGATAAATGAATTGAAAAAAAAAATTAAAAATTAACTTTTCGATGGGCTTTTTAGATGCACAATTTAAGATGCTGTAGATAAATTATAAAGAGTTATGTTTTGTTAATTAAATATGTCATTTTGATGCAAAATAAATTTATCTTTAATAAAGTGATTACGAGCAACATTATCATTTAAAAGTTAACTGAATAACGAACTGAATCAAAATGCAAGTATAAGAGTTTCCACATAAAAAGCTTGAACATTTTTTAATGAGCAAAAAATTAATATCCATTTCTAATTAGCTTTTTCTTACACATAACCTGCTATAGGTTATGTGCAAAATTTTTAACGACGTAGAAAGTGCTGTTTTGTCAAATTGCATATCATTTTAATACAACAAGAATTAATTAATCTAATTAATTTCATCAGGAAATGAATAGGTGTAGTATTGAACATTACGATGATGGCTTAGATAGAATAATTAGTCAAAAATAAATACAGTAATCACCTTGTAAATTAAGCAGCAGGTTTTTTGCGTAATTTTTTATGAATAAAAACGGGTTTTGCGCATGATGTTGCGTATCAGGCCTAAAGTACGTAAGCTAAATTTTAAGGAGACATGCATTTGTAGAAATTGTGTAATATTTCATAATATTTGTCAAGTTCAAAGTCTTATTTCATAAGTTTTGTAATTATATAATGATACAACGTGTAAATCTACAAGAATGCTATAATTATAGTACCATTTATATAGTATTCAAAATATCTTTATAATTAGAATATTTAATAAAATTTTTAAAATAAAATTAGTACAAGTTATTGAACATGTATATAGAGCTCTGCAATAGCAATATTTAATAATATAAATATAACCCTTTTCTTGGTGGGCATTTTAAGCAGAAGAGACATTGCTGCACGAGCCAAAAAGACGGCCAAGTATAGTGAATTTTTCAAACATTACCAATAATAACACATTCAAAAATTAAAAACTACACTTCTAAGCAACTAAAAATACAACAAGAAATGAAAAATTAGAATTCTCAATAACTGAACACAAAATGTAAAAAAATGAAGCAAAATTTATCACGTCCAAAGGCAACACTCATAGACGCAGGTCGACAAGCATATTCTTTTTATTCATAAATATCCAAATTTAACTAAATTTTTCGTCCAAATTTTTGCAGCCGCTTCTTAATGATATAATTCCGTATGTATCTATCGCGTGTTATTTAAAACAAATCACTGTCTCTGTTTATCTTTATATAATAGATATTAATTTCAATAAATTCAAGTTCATGATTATTCATTATGCGAATATAAAAGGCAAACACATTTTTGAATGAACTTTAGTTTTAGTCAAAATTTGATGTAAAGTGTTGAGACACAGTTCCTTCAAAATGGATTTGATAAATGTATTACTATTATTAATTACATTTATAGGAACATTTATTTACTATTACTATAATTATTCTACTTATTGGTCGTCAAAAGGAATCGCAAGTTTCAGGCCGCTTCCATTTCTTGGAAACTTCAAAGATGTCGCTTTGGCCAAAATAAATTCGGGGCTTTTTATGAAGTCTTTGTATGATAAGACTAAAGCATCAGCTTTAGGAATATACGTGTTCAACAAACCTTCATTGTTGATACGGGATCCTGAATGGATCAAAACCATTTTAGTTAAAGATTTCAACTACTTCCACGATCGTATCGTGGCTTTAGATGGAGATAGTGATACTTTAGGAACAAAAAACCTTTTTAGTATTAAAAATCCAGATTGGAAACAAATGCGTGTCAAACTGACGCCAATTTTCACGTCAGGAAAAATGAAGAACATGTTTCATCTCATGAATGATGAAGGAAAAATTTTAAATGAATATTTACACAAATTAGCTGATTCCAAGGAACCAAGTGACAATGCAAGGGAATTAAGTGCAAGATACACCACTGATGTTATTGCGACTTGTGCTTATGGAATCAAAGCAAACTGCATGAACAATCCTGAAGCTGAATTCAGATCAATTGGAAGAAAAATATTTGAAGTTAGTCTTAGACGAGTGTTAGAATTGGGTTCATTTTTTTTCTTTCCTAGAGTCGTGAATTTACTAGGTTTAAAATTATTCGCGCATGAAGGAACTGAGTTCATCCGTAACACTTTCAATGAAACTATAAGAATTCGCGAAGAGTCTAAAACAAAACGACACGACTTGGTTGATGTCCTAATAGACTTAAAAAATGCTCAAACAGCACCAGGAGAAATGAGTAAACATAACTTATTTAAATTTTTTTGCAATTTGTTTCATAAAATTTTGAGCATTTTGTTTTTGTAGGATTCGATGGTGACACTTTGGTAGCCCAAGCAGCTGTATTTTTCACTGCTGGTTTTGAAACCTCTTCTAGTACAATGTCTTACAGTTTATATGAATTAGCTATTAACCCAGACATACAAGAAAAACTTCGTGCTGAAATCAAAGAAATACTTGAGGAAGACGACATCACTTACGAATCCATCAATAAAATGTCATATTTAGACATGGTTATATCAGGTAAATATTGCAGTAAATCACAAAACTGATTACATGCTATATAATATTTTGTTATTCAGAAACGTTGAGAAAATATCCACCATTGGCGTTTTTGGACCGAAAAGTAGCTGATAATTCAACTGGATATCGTCTTCCAAAACCTCATGACGATGTAGTTTTGGAACCAGGAACGCCGATATATATCCCTATGCTTGCTGTACACATGGACCCAGAGGTAAATGTTAAAATCGATATGAGTGAAAATAAGTTAGATAATTTTTTTTTATATTATTTAGTATTTCCCTGATCCGGAGAAATTCGATCCAGAAAGATTTACTGATGAAGCCAAAAGGAATAGAATTCCCTACACGTATTTCCCATTTGGAACTGGTCCACGCAACTGCATCGGTAAGTACAGAAATTCTAGTCATGAAGACGCATGCGGTTTGTAATATCAAAGACGACTATGCTTTATTTATTTTAATTTTATCAGAAAATAACTGCAAACTGGTATACAAACTTGTTTGACACGTAAATGCCCTTTATTGCAGGGAATTACCCTCTCTTAATAACTTACAAACTTGTTGCAATAACAGATTCATAGTACAAGCTCTGAGCAATTTGTAAATGAATCAAAAATAATTATCAATAGATCAATTAAAGTTAATCTCATTGTGATTAAATCAAGGTGCCAAACTTATACATATCAATTATTCCACCTTTTTGTGGATGTTTGAATTGAAACGTGCATGCATACAAATACACGACTTTGAAATGATACCGTTCTTCTCAATATCGATCTATTTATTATATTGTTGTGCCAAATAATTAATTTTGATGTATATGTGATCAAACTTACATAGAAAAATCTATGTAAGTTTGATCTGAAACTTCAGTCCCACAAATTTGCATCTATCTGTGTTATATCCTCGTATCTCTCGGCTTCACTTTTGTTTTCATTACCATCGTTCCAGGTGAGAGATTCGGTCTTCTGCAGACAAAACTGGGTCTGGTGCACATGCTAAAAGACTTCACCGTCCATCCGTGCGCGGACACGCCCAGCAAGATCACATTCACTCCGTTGTCCTTCTTGCTGACTCCGAAAGACACGATTAATTTGAAATTCTTGAGAGCTTAAGACAGCACCTGTCAAATTCTGTGGCCGATGGTAACAACACGAGATAAAGTTATCCTATAAAGCGACATCCATTTGACGACCTGTGTGTAGGAGTGTCGCCTATAGACGACATATTGTGTGTCAAATTTTACTTTATTATTTATCGTCGAGTTAAATTATTGAGAATTTTAAATTGCTAATGTGGTTTTTAGTTATTTTATTATATTGATAATTACTGAAAAATCTAAACAATTTTGTGTAACAAATACTTGAGCGGCTTGGTGGCTCGTACAGCAGTTGCACACGTGTGAAACATACTCTAGTAGCAAAAAGGTAATAAATCATAAATCTTGAATTTTTAAATTTTAAATACAAGTTTTCGTGATATATAATTTTTACAGTGAACATACTCGTGATATATACTAGTATATCGATTTTTGTTCATCAAGTCGTTAATAACGTTCATATTAACCCTTTTCACTCGGATGCCGCCGCTCCGGCAGCAAAATACATATACATCTCATTTTGCGAGTGAAAAGGGTTAATACGCAAACTTATTTTTTCGTGTGAAATTTTTAATATGTTTCAATATTATTTAATTTTCCTCATATACCACCTGAAGTGAAATGATACAAAAATAATTCATAGAATTATGTGTTTTAATTCCTGAAACTAAAGTCTAAGAACATTTTCCCCAGCAAAATATTTTTTACCCAAATGTTCTATAATACAAGTAATTTTACTCACATATATTTAGTGAAGCTTACACGAATTTATTACAAAATTAGATACTGTAAATTGTTATTATTTCAAACATCTCATAATTTAGAAGTAATCTTAACAGCGGCTTAATGACATTTATATGATCTGCAAATTTGTTTTTTATTCGTTGTGCAATATTGATACGCCTTTTAGATATTGATTGATGATAGCATTGTTAAATTATGGTGATATTTATGTAATTAGTTTGATTTGATAAGATGTATATCAAATTATCTTGTTATTATAGTGTTTTTATTGTAATTATTGTAGATAAGTTGCTTAGGAGCACCATTATTAGTCAATTTTTGTGAAATTGATATTAACCAAATAATGAAAATAGAGGTTGTGACTAATATCATCGATCAAATAGATTTATGTTATAATCATGTTATAATTAAATATATGACTAAGCTTATATTGTATGCACAATTAATAAAATGTAAATAAATATATAAATAAATGAATTTTTGTTTTTATTAAATTTTTGTAGGTTATAGTAATTGCAAAAAAAAAAATCGAAAATGATTTTTTTTGCATATCTTTAATATTTGAAAAAGAGAGATCTCATAGGAGATAATCTCTTAAATGCATTTACACCCAGCATGTTGTATGCAGCAAATGTATATTATTTTTATTGACAATAAAATAAAAAAAATTAAAAAAAAAAAAAATTGCTTGCCAAAAATAATTATTAGATGTATGCGTATAAAATTATCAGATATGTTGTATAGGTTTTAATAATGAGTACAATTTTTTTTTTTAATTCTGTATAATGTACTGAGCGCAAAGAGTGCAAAAAATGGTCATGCAGTTTTTTTGAGAGAACATATCATCCGATTAGAATGATTCAAAAAATATTATGTAGCCGGTGTATAGAAATCATTTGTTTAAAAAAATCGAAACTGATGTCAAAAGTCGATTTTATAAAAATTTAAATAAAATTTAGAAAAATCAATTTTCTCTAAATTTTTCAAAAACTTACATTAAAATTTTTTTTTTTGAAAATTTTCAATTTATATCAAAATCCTAAAAATTTCACACACTTTTGTTGTAATGAAGTTCCGAAAAATAACCTGTTTGCCTGCCCCAAATCATCACTTATAAATAAAATAAAATCTAATGCTGCTTTTTCTTACCTCTCAGGCTGCATGATGTCAGCATTTCTTCGCAAAATTGCAGAGTCAAATTTTTCACACACACACTTTATTATACGCGAAATTATGCAAAATTGATTTAATTGGCACTTTTGTTTTAATAAATAATTTACGCGAATTTTATTACTTACAACACTCACTTCTATTTTAAGAGGTCTTTTTTATTAAGCTGAAACAAATTTGTGGATTAGTATGAAGGGTACGATCACAATTTAAAATAAAATAATGATAATAATTATATAATTAGTTAGTTATATAATCATTTGACAATTTCCTATCTATAACCTAGTTTACGATTAAACCTATCTATATAACGCAATTATCTATTTACACTCGATATTAATACAATTTATTGGTAACTTTGCAAAAACATTTTAAGCAACTATGTTTTAAGTTATTAATTTCTCATTAATTAATTTAGGTAATATAATATTATTATATCCTTTGAGAGGATAATTTATATTCTCTAAAATGTTTTTTTATTTTTGCTTGGTTACTAATAAATTGACTAATGAATTAATAAATAAGTGTAATATGGTTCGTCAACGAAGGGTTTTCACAAAAACTTTTGGAATTGGTGTATGTGTATGAAATGGTTCCTATTAGCAAGTTGTAACTTCCCGAAAAGTTAAAAAAAAATACGAGATTAGAATTTATGTAGAAAATCGGCAATTTTGATTAGAAAATTAACATGATTCAAAAATATCGATAAACATCGAAAAATAATGAAGATAATTAGAGTTTTATTTTTGTGAATCCTCAACGAGACGTGTGACCGTACCCTTAGGAATCATGCCTAGAAAACAAAATGCACTGACCTTTGCTTATAATCACCGATTCTTCTGGAACATCCCGATTACCAATTTGTTGTCTGAAGAATAAAGAATTTTTTTTTTTTTAAATGTTCTATAAGATATTGACTTGTGCTAAAAAAACTGTACATTACCTCAGGATTTCCAGAAGAGAGCTGACTAGGAACCTGGAACCAGGAATCAGAAATCGGGAACAAGACACTATCACTGCACTGTAATACTATAAATGCATTTATAAAACTATACAACACTAACAAAATTATTAAACAAACTCGTATAAAAAGTGCTCAAAAATCGAGAAAAATTATTACTTCGAGTCAAATTATTTAACCACGAGCAAAATCTTGTGTTTTGAAACTTGTGATCAACAAAATTATCACCACTAACGATAAAATACATAGAAATTTGTTTTTTCTAAGGCATCTCTATTTTTATGGTTGGTTCTTGTAAATCCTGATATCTTGACTGGTTAAATAGATAACGTCCAGTCTGGTAACAAAGTCTTCCAACCGACACTTGAAAACTACCAGGAACAACGTGGTCTAATAAATCTTATTTCTGGCAAGTAATTCTATCAAGATCATCTTCTGGGACGAACATCTGCAATACTAATTACAACAATATTTTATATTATTTTGAATAGATTTGATTTTATTTGTAAAACATGAAAAAAAAACATTGTGTAAACTGTTTTTTGAAAAAACAATGCATTAATTGCGTTTTTTTGTATTTTTTTTATTTATTCAAACCGATTTAAGTCATTTTGAGTAAAAGTAATAAATTAAATTGTATTTTAAATAATAATTTTTGTACTATTTAATAATTCTGTAGTCATAAATCTTTTAAATGGAATTAAATTTTTCGCCAAATTTTTGCAGCCGCTTCTGAATTGTATGATTTCGCGTGTGTATCATCTATCGCGTGTTATTTTATACAAATCACTGTCTCTGTTTATCTTTATATAATAGATATTAATTTCAATATCTTAAAGTTCATGATTATACATTATGCGAACTATAAAAGGCCAACACATTACGGAATGAGATTTAGTTTTAGACAATATTTGAAGTGTCGAATACAGTTCCTTCAAAATGGACTTGATAAATATATTTCTATTATTACTTACATTTGTAGGAACATTTATTTATTATTACCATAGTTATTCTACTTATTGGTCGTCGAAAGGAATAGCAAGTTTCAGACCGCTTCCATTTGTTGGAAACTTTAAAGATGTCCTGTTGGCCAAAGTGAATTCAGGAGTTTTCATGAAGTCTTTATATGAAAGGACCAAAGCACCAGCTTTAGGAATGTACGTGTTCAACAAACCTTCGTTGCTGGTACGGGACCCTGAATGGATCAAGACAATTTTAGTTAAAGATTTTAACTTCTTCTACGACCGTATTGTAGCTGTGGCTGGAGATGGTGATACTTTAGGAACAAAAAATTTATTTAGCATTAAAAATCCAGATTGGAAACAAATGCGTGTGAAGCTGACGCCCATTTTCACCTCAGGAAAAATGAAGAGTATGTTTCATCTTATGAATGATGAAGGAAGAAACTTAAATGAATATTTACACAAATTAGCTGATTCTAAACAACCAAGTGACAATGCAAGGGAATTAAGTGCTAGATACACAACCGATGTTATCGCGACCTGCGCTTATGGAATCAAAGCAAATTGCATGAACAATCCAGAAGCTGAATTTAGATCAATTGGAAGAAAAATTTTTGAAGTTAGCTTCAGACGAGTGTTTGAAGCAAGTTCATTTTTCTTCTTTCCTAGAATTGTGAGTTTACTAGGTTTAAAATTTTTTGCCCATGAAGGAACTGAATTCATCCGCAACACTTTCAACGAAACTATTAGAATACGTGAAGAGTCCAAAACAAAACGACACGATTTAGTTGATGTACTAATAGACTTAAAAAATGCTAAAACAGCACCAGGAGAAATAAGTAAAAATTGCTGATTTATTTTTCTATTGGTTTTATAAAAATTTATAATCATCTTGTTGTTGTAGAATTTGATGGTGACACTTTGGTAGCCCAAGCAGCTGTATTTTTCACTGCAGGTTTTGAAACCTCATCTAGTACAATGTCTTACACTTTATATGAATTAGCTATTAACCCAGATGTACAAAAAAAACTTCGTGCTGAAATCAAAGAAATAGTTGCGGAAGACGACATCACTTACGAATCCATCAATAAAATGTCATATTTGGACATGGTTATATCAGGTAAATAATGCAGTACATAAAACTGATCACATGTTATATATTACTTTGTTATGCAGAAACTTTGAGAAAATATCCACCATTGGCGTTCTTGGATCGAAAAGTAGTTGATAATTCAAATGGATATCGCCTTCCAAAACCTCATGACGATGTTGTTTTGGAACCTGGAACACCAATATATATTCCGATGCTTGGATTACACATGGATCCAGAAGTAAGTAATGAATTCAATATGAAGAAAAATAAGTCAAATATACAAATTATATATATCATTTAGTATTTCCCTGATCCTGAGAAATTTAATCCTGAACGATTTACTGATGAAGCCAAAAGAAATAGGATTCCCTACACGTATTTCCCATTCGGAACTGGTCCACGCAATTGCATAGGTAAGTACAGAAATTCTAGTCGTAAAGACGCAAGCCAGCTTGTAATATCGAAGACGACTTTGCTTTATTTATTTCAATTTTATCAGAAAATAACTGCAAGCTGGTGTACGAACTTGTTTGATACGTAATTGCCCTTAATTGAAGGGAATTCCCTCGGTTAATAACTAACAACCCTGTTGCATTGATAGATTTATAGTAGGTATAAGTTCTGAGCAATTTGTTGAAAAGATATATATATATATATATATATATATATATATATATATTGATAAATATATTTATATATATACATATTTTTTGGATGTCAAAATTGTAATGAGCATGTATATATCTTATACTCTATATCGATCTATATTTTGCAATAAAACGTCATCATATTCATTATTCATTATTATTAGGCACCACTTATCTATATAAGTAGTATCTTAATTATGTGGTTTTCGAATATACTTTAATTGAACTTACTGAAAAAAGATTAGATGAAAACATCTTCCATGAGATAACAGAAAAACATGTGGAGAGATTATTTTAGGAATGAAGTGGCATATTTATTTGTTGTATAAAAACAATCATTGGAAAACCCATCCGTACTTTTTACATCAAAGCAAAATTATAATTGTTAGATAATATTTCTATCGAGGTATTTATTTTAAATATCATTATAGCCGATGTGAGAAAATAGAATATGGTATAATACGTGTTCAGAGTGAAAAGCCAATATTTATTAAATTATCTGCTTCTAGCTCAAATATCCTTATCCCCTCAATGTCTATAATTTCTTCAAATTTTATAGCAAATCAACATAATAGCTTATAGATTTTTTTTATTGCTATTCAATTATTGTAAAAAAAATATAGCAAACTTTGTAACTCCCATTCCACGAATTTGTATCGATCTGATTTACATACAAACGGCACATATATTATTTTCATAATAATAATAAATAAAAAATGGTGGTCTGCACAAAGGCAGGTCCATGGTGCAAGAGCCTCATAAATTAATGATTTTCTTTCCCTTATGTGTATATTATTCCTATTACCATTTTATTACCACTTTTCATTCACTTTTATACATTTTCCTTTCCAAACTTCTGCTCCATGTTTCCTGGCCTTGTACTTTGGCGTTCGGTTCCCTATATTTTTTTGTGTTGCTTCAGTCATCAATCATCTGCATTATTCTTCTTCCCAATTCCTTTATTCCTTATATTTTTTCGTTCGAGGACATCGTGTAAAACAAGGCACTTTTTTATATCATATATTATTTATTATTCATAATTTATGTAATTTTATATAATCTAATTTTTTACTTTGTCATAGAAGTATCTAGTTTTAATTGGTAACATATTTTTGATCTGAATTAAATTTTATATTTGAAACTGAAAATTGATTTTTTCATTTTCACTCGTAAGGTGACCATACATCCCGGTTTGGCCGTGACAGTCCCGGATCTCCGGTTATTCCGGATTATTCCGGTTTTTCGAGAATTAATAGGCAAAAATGATGAAAACAAAATTTCTAAATTAATTATGAAGGAAATTGAATAAAATTTCATACAAAACTCAAAAGCGAAAAAAAAACATTAGATCGAAAAATGTAAGATGTAATTTTGATTTATTTTATAGATGAAAAACTATTTCATAGAATCAAGTAAAATAAATTCCTACTAAAAGTCCGCTATTCTTATAGAAGAAAAGATTTATACAAAAAAATGTTTATTGTATCCTTAAATGGCATTTTTTATTATCACACCCCACCCACCGTCTAGGATTACTGTAACTAATAGCTGCCATCCCGGTTTCAAAAATTTGCTCATCTTACTTTTCACTGATATTATCCGTAACGCAAGTTTGAACCCGGTATCTTTTGGTTACAATTTGTCATAATGTTTATCAATATACTGATGTATATAATAATACAGTGATAGCAGTATATACTGGTATTACTGTATCGGCATGAACATACATGGTATATGGTATAATATAAATTCATTGATGGCTCACTAATCTGATCTGATTTATATTCTCATATCTCTCGGCTTTACTTTTGTTTTCATTACCATCGTTCCAGGTGAGAGATTCGGTCTTCTGCAGACAAAACTGGGTCTGGTGCACATGCTAAAAGACTTTACCGTCCATCCATGCGCGGACACGCCCAGCAAGATCACATTCACTCCGTTGTCCTTCTTGCTGACTCCGAAAGACACAATCAATTTGAAATTCTTGAGAGCTTAAGATGACACCTAGCAAATTCTGTGGCCGATGGTAACAACACGAGATAAAATCATCAATTTTTTTTTTACTATTTCTTTATATTTTTCAACAGCAATCAAAACCTTACGTCTTATGAGCTGTTCGGCTAAAACTTCTGACTTCATATTTTTTTAGATGGTAACCCAATGGTTAATCCATCCATATTTGATGATTTTGGATTAGAATTAATCTAATAGGGCTGACTTTTTATTGGTGCAGCAATGTCGGGTAAGGGCTATTTTTACTTGGAAATATATTGCTATCTATATTTCCAAGTGAAAATCGTTGTCACTGCTGCTTGACAACAAGCTGCTCGAAGTGGGTATCGAACCCGGGACCTCCGAAACAAGTCCCGTCGCTCTTAACCGCTTACCTACGGGCAAGCCCAAATCATCAAATAGTGTGATTTTTCGATAAACAAGACATCGTGGTAAAATAATATTTGCAAATAGGTTTGTCTCTAAATAGAACAACGTGTGGTATTTTTGATCAATCGCAACCGCACGTTAGTAAAACTGTAACATGCAAATGTATATATTTCAAGTTTTTTATCATGTTTCTAGAATATTATTATGTTATTTCCAGATTCTTTTGGAAGTAAAATATTTAATTGTTAAATGCATTTTTATGCAATTACTGTAAAATCTTAAAATAATATGTGTCACAGATACTTGAGCAACTTGTTGGCTTGTACAGTAGTGTTACCCCTGGGCAAATCACTCTCGTACTTCCAAACTCAACTTTTTAATTTTCAAATGTAAGTTTTCGTAATACATTATTTTCACTAGCGTTTTGATTTTAAGTAGAATTTTAAAAATGTTCATAATTATATCGAGCTTGCTTATACTTTATATGATAAATAATATTTAACATATTATTTATCATATCAAGTAAAAGCAAGCTTGATATAATTATGAACATTTTTAAAATTTTACTAAATTTGCTTGAATATATTGCTTGATTTTGATTATGAAATTTTTGAAATATTGTTAGCGTTTGACATTTCTATTTTGAAAATCATACATCTTCTGAATTTTTCATTTCTAATTATTAGTTGTCGTGATATGTAATTTTCACGGTGAACATACTCATGATATATACTATTATTATATCGATTTTTGTTCATCTCATGTAAAAATTTAAAGATGTTTATATCAATATCAAATTTCTTCTTTTTCATGTGAAATAATTAAATGTTTAAATATTAATTCATTTCTTTCTCATACTTCCTCAGATAAAATTCGGTAAACGATAGCCCTTTTGCATACAAAACTTGTTCTAATAATATAACATTTTTGTAAAAAAAAAAAAAAATTTTTTTGCGGAATAAGATGCTCAATAGACAATCATCAATTAAAAATTTGTTTTTTATTCGTAGTGCAATACTGATAAGCCATTCAAATTTTGATGAATGATTAATTTGATAGCATTGTTGAATTATGGAGATATTTATGTAATTAGAAAACTTGATAAGATATTTAATTTATCATGTTATTATAATATTTTTATTTGAATCATTGCAGATAAGTTGCCGCGAGCACAATTATTCGCAAACTTATTTATAAAATTGATATTATTCAAATATTCAAAATAGAGATTGTGACTGATATCAGTCAAATATTTTTGCGTTAAAATTATATATATGAGTAAGCTTGTATTGTACGCACAATTAATTAAATATAGAAAATAAATATTTATATAATTTATAATTTGTTTTTGTTTATAAGGTAGTTAAAAAAACAAAATAAAAACAATATTGAATTAATACACTTCGGAACCAAAAAAATCTACTTGTTATATAGATTTTGCTCTTAGTGTTTTGCAAAAACTTTCTGGTACAAAAAAATGGTAATTACTGGAAGAAAAACAGAATTTTAGACATGTTTGTTGATCTGCAGATTTTCTGTAGATCATAAATATATATAAATATTTTTACTTATAAAGCATGCCATTTTTTCTTAAAAATGCTATTTAATTTTTTTGAATGAGTAAAATGATCGTTCGATCTACGATGCTAATCAGGCATCTAAGAATTTTAAATTAAAATAATCTAATTAATAGTTAAGAATATTGAAAAAAAAACATTTTTTTAATTTTTTTTTATTTTGATATAAAAATAACTATATCATGATTAAGCAAACACAAAAAAAGTGCTCGGCATATCTACAATAAAAATGGTAAAATTTACTTATTTTTAAAAATTGATGTAATTAAGATAAATTTTTAATTTTGAAAATACTTTATAAATAGATTTAAAATTTCATTAGAAAATATGGGTGAGAAAAATATGTGTTAATTGGTAATCTCAAAAAACAACGTTCACAACGCAATTGTGAATGATCTAGAAAATTTGGAAAAAATATCTTGTACAAGCATATTCCTACGCATTTAGTTCCTTGGTCACTAAGACTTGGTATGTCCAAATATCCCTAACATTCCCAAACAATTTGTGGGCAAAAGTTTCATACAAAATGAACTTTATCGAAGTTGCTGCAGTGTAAATAATATATTTTCATTGACTTGCCTTGAGCTTAACAAAAAACTTAAAAACAGAGTACCTTCAAACATTGTTAATAAATTTTTGAAAAAAAAAAATTAAAATATATCCTGATCATTTAGTGAGGAAATTCAAAACATAACCATTTTCTGAAATTATATCAATCGATCATTTTCAATTATATATATTTTTCTTTTCTGTTACATATATTCCATAAACATATTCTAATATTTAACAATAATTATTCATTTTTATACCATTACAAATATGGGGTTAACAAATATGTACACCAACAGTGGTCGTGGAATGCCTATGGCAATAGTAGAAATAACACAGATTTTATATTAGTAAACAAAGTATAAAATAATTTTAATTCTATGTTAACAAGTCGATAGATTTTTTTTAATCTAAATTATTTATAAAACTTCATAAAGCTTTTAAAATATGTAATAATGGAATAGTATAAAAATCAACGCTTTTTTAGTAATGATGTTTAGCAATAGTTTAGTATTTTAATTACTGGATAACGCATTTCATATAAAAGTGTAGCAAGCTGCGACAATAAAACAAATAAATTCTACTTTTTTGGTTAGTAAATAAAATAATGAGTAGTACTGCCTTAGGGCAGGTCCGTGAAATGAGTTAAACTCCAACTCGATTCAGGAAAGAATAGTGTGAAAGATTTCTCATTGCCATTTCATACCGCAGTGCCCAAAATGAGCTATTTTTAATTGAAAACATATTTTTCATCTATATTTTTAATTTAAAATTTATATCACTGCTGCATGATCTGAAAAAGCGGCAGACGGCAAGTGTGGTCCGAGTATAATTAGTCGTTTAAAATTTTGGATTTCAAATGCGATGTCCAGTAACTTTAAGAAATTATTGATGTGCAAAAACTAAAATATTACCTACATGACCTTCAAGGTTTTTTATTACAAGTAACTATAACAGCTAATATCTAACAAATTCGCTAGCAGAATATCTAGACAGTTTTTTCGCATTCGCAATTAATATCGACTTGTTTTACAATTTATTTCTATCACATTTAACATATATTTATACATAATATATCAGTGTTTCAAAATATATGATATAAAAACGTATCAGAATTGATTAATTAATAGTGCTCCCATTAATTCAAACTTATAAGTTTGATGAAATATTTAATCATCTAGATTATTAAATTATCTGATTTAATAACATATTTTTACATATATAGTTTAATTTTTTTGTTCAAATAAATAATTTTGAGCAAGGCAGTTACACGAGAATGCTGAAATCACAGCTAATTCAATTGATGAAGATTTGCTCAATTTGATTGAGCAAATGTTTTCACTATAAAGTTTGTATTTTGAATACAGAATATATTTTTATATAATTGATTTTGAGTAATAACTTCATAGTAAGGATGCCAGTGTTTATAATATTAAAATCCATTAAATGTTGTAAACTGTAAAATGTAACAGATAATTTTATTGATAATATTTGTATTAACTAGTTAACTGTAACTGACGAAAAAGTTTTGTATCGACTAGTATACTCGTCATGCTTATAAACCAATGACGATTGGTTATTTAAATTGCAATTTCTGAGAAAAACTAAAAACTGACACGAATATTAAAATGTTTAGAAAATTTGAGACTATGGTAATTTAAAATAAGTAGTTGTAAGTGGAACTTTAACTGAAAACAAGTTGCAAGTACTTCCCAAAATGTGGAAGTAATATACTTGATCATTGGTCGAATATTGTATTATAGATATCATTTCTTAAAATTCATTTAAATTGAAAAAAGACAATGGATCTATTTGCCCCCTGAGTGTTCCATGGTGTCCCCCTGAGTGTTCCATGGTGTCCCCTAAGTGACAGATGACAAACTTTAGAAAAATGGTAAAAAACACATTTCAACAAGGAATTAACGGGGAATTTTACTGAACATAGTACGATAGTTGTTTGTTTTATGCGCATTGTGTGTTCTGATGTAGTTCATTTGGTTTAGACAGTATAATTTCTTAAGCTTAAATTGGACCTTTGTGCCCCACACTACCCTCCATGTAACTGTATTAATTTAATTTAATTTATGCAACACATTTCATTGTAATTCGCATTTTAAACATGTATTTTATCCACGTCAACGGTGATCAGTAAAAAAACACAACCTTTGAATGAGTTTTCATAATTAAACTAATTTCCGTAGGACTACAATATTTTATAATTATTCGTGTCACTTCGCAGCAAGGGGGTGTCCATGTGAGGTTTTTAGGGGAAGGGAGGGGTTGACAGAAAAACACGAAATATCACGTGAGGAAGGGAGGGGTATAGTAAAATATCACGTGTATTTATTTTTAACCTGCATTTACCTGACCCGCCTCCCTCACGTGTATTTTTAATTAGAAGAAAAAATTGTAAAATTTTTATTTTTTTTAGAAAATGTTTGAATTTTTTCAAAAAATAAAATTAAAAATTCGACAATTTTTTCTTGTAACTAAAAATACACGTGATGTTTGATGGGAGAAGGGGGCTAATTTTGGATATCACCGCATATCACTAAGGGGAAGGGGCGTCCAAAAATCACGTGAAAAATTGATCACGTGATTAATGGACTCCTACCAGAAGTTTCAATTGTTACTTTCATATGCAATAATATTTAATTGAATTTATTACGTTTTACACGAATGTAATACGAGGTGTGTTCAAAAAGTACCCGGAATTACTAAT